CTGAAGAGCTGAGGGACAGCGGCCAGGCCCAGAGTTCAGGCCCCGCAACTGGACCAAAAAAAAAAAAATAGAGTTTTATTGGAGATAAGAGTCTCATGGACTTTCCTGTCTAGGCTGTCTTTGAACCTCGATCCTCATTATCTCAGCCTCCAGAGTAGCTAGGATTACAGGTGTGAGCCACTAGCGCCAGGCATTTTAAACCTTTTAAGGTTTTTACTGAAGATATAAGATTTGATGTAAATATAATCACAAATTGGGGGGGGGGAATTCTCCATAGTCCCAAGGGATAATTTTTACAGATTAAAACAAAACCGGTCACCACACCTAAAATAGTGAAGATAATGCAATCTCCATTGAAAGGTTTCCCATAGTGAAACTGGCAGGAAGAGAACTTCTCAAAATGAATCTGTTTCCCTCAAGGCCCACAAGAGCTGCTTTCAGGAGGAATAAAGTCTCATGTACCTGTCTTTCAACCAGCCAACCTACAAAGTTCAACAGGGAGCCAAGGCCATTCTCTCCTCTAATTCTGCTTTCTAAACAACAAAAGCAAGTTTTTATCATTTCCCTGTACGCTTTTTTGTTTTTTACTAAGTCTTAGCCTAAATCAAGCCCTTGAAACAATAATAATCTAAACAAACAATATTCAGGAACAAAAAAAAAGTTACATTCAATTACAGTTCCATTTTCCAATAAACAAGAGTGGACATGCAAACAGATCCAGTACAGTAAGTCATAGTATTGCCCATTTTGTAGGATTTCTAAATCTTAGCTCCTCATTCATTCAAAATGTAAACTACACCAGCTAGACGTGGCACTAGAGTGAAACAGCAGGGGTGGCAGCTTCTCACTCTGGCACCTTGAGCAGCGTCTGTAGGTCTGGATCTGAGGCAGGCCTTTACTCCTATCATCCCAATCCTTACTGGCTGAAAGGCAGGTAACACTGCTAGTCTCCCACACAATTAAAACAACCTGAGCTGCCTCAACCTGTTGGAGATCAGGCAGCACAGTAGCTAACACACAAAACTAACCAAGTAACAAAGTGTGTGGGGAATCCTCCCCTCCCAGTCTTTGTCTCTGTCACTTCCCTGCTCCTTTAATTCACACATGCAGACAGACACCTAACCCCCAAAGCTCTAGCATGAAGCCCCAGCCACCGAGCTGCTGGGCTGGGAACTAGGCTCCTATGTCCACTGTGATCCTAAGCCAGGGATCCCTCCCCTTGTACCACACTGATGGCTCTCAGTATAAAAAGCACTGACATTTCCTTCAACTCTGAGTCATGCTTAGAAGGTTCTACTTTTAATCAGGTGACAAATACTCAAAATATTTTAATCCAAAGGAATTGGGTCAAGCTCTTATAGTCCATAATTGTAAAAGCAAACCCTAATTACTAATAGATCTCAATAGCTCCTTAGTGCATCATTCAGTTCATAATCAAATACCAAAATCTGCTGCTCAGTTTAAATGTTGTACAAGCCTTCTCCATAAGCCAGAATAAAGAGAAGCTTTTTTTCCTACCCACTTCATCAGATATTCTAACCCATAAAGTTGAAATATTTATCAGTAGTGTCATTTTCAAAAGGATAATCCACAATATTTGGGTAGGGAAAGAGAAGCTTTTGTATTATAAAAATAATATACACAATAGATTTAGGAACAGCCATAAGAAATATCAACTGTACACAGTAAGGTACAGGTATATTAGAAAGAGGACAGATTATAGGATTTCCAGACAGTAGCTGACAGAACATCTTGAGAAGGGAGAGAAATTCAGATGTACTTACGAGTGAGGATTTTCACCATTAGGTTTTAATCATTCTTAGTGATAGCTCAACTAAGCATTCCTTTGATTAATGAAAACAAAACCCCAAGGAAAATGTCACATGGGATGATATCCAATTCTTTCTTAAGTAAGCTTTAAAAGAAATACTCTTAGAAACAGAAACCAACAAAAGTCTTGCCTCCTAAATTTAAAGCCAGAAAACATCCTAATGGTAGTTTTTCAATCACTATCATTCTCTACATTGTCTAAAAACTTTAAGGGGAGGAGAAGCTGTGCGTACTTCTAATCTTCCGTGCATCTTTCTATGTGTGTGCGGTACCCTAGCTAGCTCAGATCCCTTCAGGAATGTCCAGGCTCAATGGCAAGGTCCACCTGCTCCAAGGAGCTCTTCACATAACTCCACTGACAAAGTGGAATAGGCAAAAGCTCCAAAAGGTACTGGTGCCATGGCTTACATTTCTGCCTCAATGTGAGCATTTTCTTGAAATCTAAGTTGAAGACTGAATATGAAAGGGTGTATCCCTTCCCCAGTTAAAGCAGATTTGGCCATTCCACACCAGATCCAACAGATATATTCCCAGAAGGATGCACGCAGAAAAAGACCTCAGCATAGGCCAAAGGGCTTAGGACACATACTGTAATCAGAAGGCCTATCTAGGAGCATTAGGGTTTCTGGGAGGTCATCTCAGAACAAGCAGAAGACTTATGAGTGCAGTGACATCCAAGGAAATAAGACTGTCATGGCCAAGGTACTATTCCAGCCCAGAAGGCCAGAGAGGGTAGCAGAGCTTCAAGGGCCACCACACTACGAATGGCATGCATGTTCCCATCAGCCCCAATTCCCCTCACCCAACTCTCAGGGTCCACCTCAGGTGCCCCTTCCCCAGTCCCTAGCTCTAGGCTTCTAAACTGTGAATAAGTGCTGCCCTCTTTGGATTACCCTTTCTGAGTCAGGCACTTTCACACTCATTGCATTTTGTATTCTTTTCTCAAGGTTTGTCCTAAATCTTATTATCACAGTTCTAAGCTACTGAAAGACATCTATCATAATCCCCTCTAGGGGCTGGGAAGTTGGCTCAGTGGTACAGCGCTTGCCTTGCATGCCTGAGGCCCTGGGTTCGATTCCTCAGCACCACATAAGCAAAAAGCCAGAAGTGGCACTGTGGCTCAAGTGGTAGAGCGCTCGCCTTGAGCTGAAGAGCTGAGGGACAGCACCCAGGCCCAGAGTTCAGGCCCCACGACCGGACCCCCCAAAAAAAAAAAAAAGAATCCCCTCTATACATACATATCTACATACTCTCTCTATAGCTCTATATCTATATATCTATATATGTATGTACCTAGAGAGAGAGAGACAGACAGACAGACAGAAATCCTATATATATTGCTATTGCCTACTGAATATCTCAAATTAAATTATAGTATACACTGTAAGGAATAGAATCAAATATTAATTTGCTGCTTAACAGTCCATGAAACACTTAAATATTATGAAGTGTGTTTAGAACACAGAAGATAACTTTGGTTTTTATCTTCCTCATGTTCTTATTCTTAAAAATACAAGTG